TTCCCAATGGCAGTGGAAGAGTTACCAGTCTGCCTGCCCAGTAGCACATGCAGCAGTGCAGCTAGCCGTCTTGGGACCTTCACTTGGTGTCCCATCCATTTAGGAATAAGGGACTTGCTTTGCATTGGCAGCAGTGGTATTAAGACTAAACTAACTTTGAGACTTGCTTTGTACTTAGGAAAGTCATATTCCAAAATTGATTACACCTGTAGAAAAGGGAAGAGATTTAGAAGCTCGACTTATAGACTCTTACATCATACAGTGCCAAGCTGAAGCTCAAGAAGGTATCTTCAAATATACATGTTTGTTGGGGATGGGAAATGACAGTCTTTGTGGGTTTCTTTGTCTCCTGAAGCCTGCTTGGCAGCAATGCTAGTTTTTTCTTCTCCTGAAGTACTCCGGCTTAGTGGGGTGGGTTGCTTTTAAAGAAACTTGAGTTACAGTTATAGGAGGAAAATGCCAAAAATCAGTCTGATACTACAAATTTAACCACTTTGGAAGAATTTGTGTGTGACATTCCTCCCCTCTTCTTTCTTCCTGTCGTGCAGTCTCTTCACCACCATGCTTGCCTAACATAAATTCCCAGTTTCTTTACTTTAAAATATTTGCAGCTTCTGTTTACTAGCTAGTCTTCAGACTAACCTTCCTCCAGCTTTTCTATTAATTTGGAATCATTCTATCCAAGAAACAATCTGCCTTTATTCGGCAGTTTGCTTGACTGCCCAATACTTGTTTTCTGCTCATGCAGAGGTTTTAAAATGCTAAATGCCTCTGGTGATTTGATGTGACATTTTCAATTAAACTTTAATACTGTGGTGTGGAATTTTTTTTCAGTGACAATTGCTCGGGCTATTGAGCTGAAACACAATCCAGGACTAATAGCTGCTCTTGCTTATGAAACAGCTAACTTCTACCAAAAAGCTGGTAAGTGTCTTGTTTTGTATCCTTAGTGACCTGGTTTATGCATTCTTGCCAGCAGACATACTTCACCCGCCCATCAATTGCAATATTAACACTGTTTCTCAGTGGATATGCTTTGTATATTTAGCTTCTACTTAGCGCATTTAAGGCTTCAGTTGTCACTGTAACAGATATATTTTGATAAGGCCTTTTGTTTTTGTGGGAATCTTTTTCTGTAGCTAATGTTAGTAGGAAATGTTAGTGAGGGGAGACAGAAGACAGAGTAATGTCTTGAGAATAGGTAAGAGCAGCAAACAAATGGCTTGATGTAAACGGAGTGTGTTTCAACTGCCTTCGGGCAGCAGATTAAGATGCAGATGGTAAAGTGTGTAGCGGATTAATTATGTACATCCTTCCAGAGGAGTAAGTTGACCTGTGGGCTTGCTGAGGCAAGTGGGAAAAGTGCAAAAATACGGGAGTCTATGTAAGAGATGGAATATTGTAACATACGTAGGCTTTTATAGGTCACTACTTGAAATTAAACTAGGAAAAAGCTTTGAAATGCTGCCTAAAAATACTTAGGAAAATTAGTCTTCAAAACTTAGTGGACAGCAGTTCAAGGATTCTAGGGACAATTGCATGATAGCTCAATAAACTGCATATTTTTCTTTTTTCTCATAGTTTCTCTGTGCCTTTGCAGGAGTAATTTATGTCACTTGTTTCTGGCTACTTTATAGTTAAGATCTATTGCTAACTTTAAGAATTCCCGTCTTTGAGTATGTGTGGAATTTTTCTTTTTGGAAATATCTTGAAGAATAACTTTACATATGTGTTCACAGATCAAGCATTATCCAGTTTGGATCCAACCTATGCAGGGAAATGGAGGAAGTACTTAAACTTGAAGAGCTGTTTCTATATGGCATATGTAAGTACTTCGGTTGACATCAGTCACAGTTTTTAATGTTGTCTAGGGGCTGGATAGGGAATGGGGGCTAAGTATTGCCTTGACTTTCTTTCCATGCTTTGAAGAGACTGTGCAGTGTCAGTGGCATTTGAAGTGTTTTTGTTGAGCCAAGTGAAATTACTGCAGTATGGAATTTATTGTGATCACGTATCATTAAGTGAAGCAATTCAGGTTGAGCATAATACTAGTCTTCCATTATCTGCATCACAGTCTCATTCTAGGCGTAATTCAGAGCTGATCATCTTTTTGAAGGCCCTGAATGAAACCGCATCAAATAATGTTAGGTACTATTCCAAGCGCTGACCCTTTTTGTGTGACTGATCTCTTAGCAAGTGCAGTGGCACTCTTGGGATCATCAGCTGCTTGATTTACTGTTTATTTCTTGTAGCCTGCCACAGCCTGTAATCTGGCTCTTTCATACTGCAAAAAAGGCCCAAACTAAGCAGTTAACACCATTGTCATTCTCTTATGTTAAACCTGTAGCTAAAAGCTGCTTGCCTTATTAGCAAGTTTGAGAGGTGAGGGAGGGTCAGAGCTGTGGTACTTTCTTTCTTTTTTTAATTTGTGTAATATGGGCAATGGTAGATTTAGATAACACTTGCTATACTGTGAGAACAGACATTAAAGGAAGGTATGCAAGGCAGGCATTAGTTCATGGGATTGTTCCTTTACCTATGGTTTTTAGTATTTAAACTCAGTGACTCCTGGTAATAGAAGAGAGGCCATTCAGTTCTCACTGGAATACAGTACTATCTTCAAACATAATTGTGAAGGAATGGGACTTTTTGGGGTGGAAAAGTTATTTGGACTATGGCAAAATATCTGAAGCGGCTGAAAGCCTCATCTTTTCTGGATTCAGTGATGTTTGTTGCTGATTTGGTTTTTGAGTGTTCAGGTAGTTTTAGGTTTTAGAGTCTTTGCTTTGTAAACTTGACTGGGGTTCATCCTCATTCTGTGATGGGGCTTAATGCTGCACATTGATACAGTGAGAGAGAGAGGTTTGAATTAGACTATATACTAGTGCTTTTGGTAAAACAGCCTTCATGAAGCTCCAAGTTGGCTAGACTCACGGTGTTCGTGTTGAACTGCGTTGTTCGGTGAATGCTGCTTTGACTTGCATTTCCAAATTGTCAGCTACCGGCAGGGAATGGCAATGGCAGCTTCAAAGAGATGCGACTGATGTAAGGAAGAGCAGAAGCGAATTGGTGCAGGAAGTGCCCAGTGATGTTGGTAATGGTTTTGTCCTCTCCCATTAGGCACACTGTTACCATGGTCAAACTTTATTGGCAAGTGATAAATGCGGGGAAGCAATCAGATCTCTGCAGGAATCAGAAAAATGTAAGTGTGATTGAGACTGGATTACAGGGTCTGATGATGACATGCCTGTTTTATTTTGCTGTATCGTGTTTATTTGGTCTCCCAAAAACTTAAGATTTTATCTGTCACTTGATGACAATCCAGCACACTTTTGAGTAGAGACAGTATATTCTTTTTTTGTCATACCAAAGACTGTCTTTCATAACAGTACTGCAGAAAATTTCATCTTCACTTCTCAGCCTGTTAAAGACTGGCTTTGAACTGCCTGCAATACAGTGTAAAAATCAATTGTCTGGTCATCACGTTTTCTGATCTGGATGTTAAGTTACTGCAGCCTTTTCTGTTTTGGAGCTTGCTCTGTCTTACATTAAATAGTAAATCTAGACCATGTTTGTTTGTTTGTTTTTAAACAGGTTTCAGTAACTTCATTTCTATTCATTTGAAAGGTAGATTAAGGGAAGTTTGCAGTAGTTCAGGGTCTTCTGCCCGTCTTATCTCTTCAAAGCTATTGCTACCCCAACGGCCTGCACTGCATAACTTTACCAAAATGTATAAAAAATACTCAAATTATCAAACTGGAAACTTTTAACATTCATTTTAAAAATAAATAAAAGGAATTTATTAAGAAAAACTAAGTTGGATTACTTGCAGTAAAACAAATACTGTGGTTTTTAGTGTGCCTGCTGTTCAGAGAAGAGTGCTTCTTTTCCCACTCCATATTAAGTGATGTTTATTTTTGGGCATCAACTCTGCGTGGACACCTTCATATCCATTCTTTTTCCCTACCATGTGGCACTGTTCGTAGGCTTACTGTTGCATTTTGCCCCACAACTAAGTTGGATTACTTGCAGTAAAACAAATACTGTGGTTTTTAGTGTGCCTGCTGTTCAGAGAAGAGTGCTTCTTTTCCCACTCCATATTAAGTGATGTTTATTTTTGGGCATCAACTCTGCGTGGACACCTTCATATCCATTCTTTTTCCCTACCATGTGGCACTGTTCGTAGGCTTACTGTTGCATTTTGCCCCACATTTTTTTTTCCTACACAAAAAGCTATCTTCTTTTTTTCTGTTCCTAGTCACTTTTGCAGTAAATCTTGGCTGGAAGTGCTGCCTTTGAGCTAGTTTATTTTTGTTTCTAAGAAGCAAGAAGCCTGAATGGATTCTGGTATCTCCTAAAACTGAAGCACTGTAGATCAGAACCATGATTTAATAGACTTGTGTAAATGATTATTATTACATTTCTTCCTTGCAAAGTTTTTGCCAAGGCTGAAGCATTGTGCAAAGAATATGGAGAAACCAAAGGACCTGGGACTACTGCCAAACCTTCTGGACATCTCTTCTTTAGGAAATTAGGAAGTTTGGTTAAGAACACACTAGAAAAATGCCAGAGAGAGAATGGATTCATGTAAGTAATTCTTGGTTGGTACAGTACTCTATATGAACTGTTAATACCTCATTTGCTTTTATTTCCAGATGGGGTGGTAAATTTTACTCTCCAGTTCTTATGTTCATTTTGGCCATGGCATGTAACTTAGAGAACTGCAAATTTCTCTTTAATTTTCTCATAGCAGATTTGCTATGGGTCTGTGCTATTACCCTCTTCATTTTCTATGCCAGTTCGGACGAGTAGGTTGGACTGACATGCTGGAGAAGTTAAGCAGTTTTCTTCCTTCATTCCTCAGCCACTTTGTTCCTTTTCCTTCTGCACAAGAGGAAGTCCTGCAGAGGTTGCTGTGTTGCTCTAATGCCCTCTTCCCAGTTGCTGGGATCTAGTAGGCAAAAGAGGACAGAGGGGAAATGGAGAAGACTGGTAGCTGATTCTGCTTTGCTAGCAGAGAAGTCAAAACACAGTTGTGCTTTCAGTGAAGAATATGCTTAGGGTGCTAGGAGCTTTACCAGTCTAGGTATAATTAATATTGTGAATAAGGCTTGCTGTTAGTTAATGCCCCTTCCAAAAAGAGTTTGGAAGCAGTTTAAAATAGCAAGATTAGTTTGGCTTTAGAATTCTTTTGCTCATTTCTTTCTCCCCTCCCCTCCTCTTATGATTTAGTATTCCATAATAGGTTTGTTATTTCCCTTTTTATGATATTTAAAGACCTGCATAATAGGGGAATTGACTAAACAAAAAGGATTGTCGAGTATATCAAGCTGAACTGCAAATAGGAAAAGAAATTCTCTGCTCTGCTTTGGTTCCAATAACCGTTGTCATAGCTTACAACACCAGCATACAGGAGATTTCAACAAATCCATGTCCCTCTAGAAACAAACTTTAAAGAGAAACCAGATAATCAGTGACTGTTTTGGGAGATGTGCCTGCCACAGAGCTCTGCTGCAGCGCAGGAAGTAAGGTAGCATGTGTCAGTATTTGTCAATTGTCAGCTCTTGTTATACCCTCATTCAGGCTTTGTGTTGTAGCAAGTCTTTGCGGGTGTTGCAGTGTCATTGCTATTATGCACTGTGGCACGTTAAGACTGATTTAGGAAAAGAACTGTCCTCTTCATCTTTCTGTGGAAGTATTTTAAATCCTCGTTTGGATTTTGAAGGTCTTTTTGGACAAAAGGTGTTCTTCTCATTGAAGCACTGGGCATAATGGTTATCAAGTAGGAAAAAACCCACCTAGCTATTAGGAGATGAATACCGAAAAGGAATTGCTTTTGCTCTTGTGAATCTTGCTGACAGAGTGCATGTTGGACAGTGCCTTAATGAAATGGAAGAGAGCAGCAATGATTGCCTCTGTAAAACTCAGATTGTTTTTCTTTAGAATTGCAAACAAGACTTGCAGAGATAGTGCATTGTGTTTTAAATATATTGCTGTATTCTATTACAGCTATTTTCAGAAGGTGCCAGCAGAGGCTCCCCAGCTGGAACTGAAAGCAAACTATGGCTTAGTAGAGCCTGTTCCTTTTGAATTTCCTGCTTTGAACGCACACTGGACTCCTGAAACGCTTGCAGCATTTGATCTCACCAAGAGGCCAAAGGATGACACTGTAAGATAACCTTATGTACTGTTCTTTCCCGTTAGCTTTATTCTGTGTATAATACAATGTTACTGTTTTGCTCTTCTGTAATGCTCCCCAGCTCAGTGCAGGACGTAGACACAAGGCTACCACCTGAGCTTACACTTCTGCTGTGGAACGAGGCAAGTCAGTTAACCTCCCTGCCACGCTGTCAGCATCTGGAAATCAGGAGTCATTTTTTTCTAAGTCCTGAATAGGAGGAAATTCTTTAATGTGTATAAGATGCTGAAATGTTACAGGAGTGAATGCTATAGAAAGATTCTTTTTTAGAAGAGAATTCATTTAAGGATGCTGAAATAGAGAATATTTGGCTTTCCCCCCTTGCTTGAGGCTCGCTCAAAGCCTTCAGCCTTGAAAAGAAAGGGGACTTTTAGATTAGAATATGTAAAGTTAGCCATGCATAAATACTGTGCAGACACAGTGGATTGTACTTGTGGTATTTAATTTTTTTTTCTTCTTGTTCGCAGGCTAAACCGAAACCAGATGAAGAAGTAAAACCTCTGAAGGAACCAGATATAAAGCCTCAAAAGGACAGTGGATGCCAGATTTCTTAAGTGCCACAAGTGCTTTGAATTCACTTTAAAACTGTATTAATTGGACTCTGGGGCTTTAGTTCTGATCTTCCTTTTTCTGATTCTTCTTTTTTAATTTAGAAGACTAATGTAATTTACTTTTGTTAGTATGCATCTATCTTACTTGAGAATGTGGTGGATTTCTAGGAGTTTATTTATATCTGACTTATTTTTGGTTTTAGTGGGATATCATAGAATGAGTGGGCTTAAATGTTCCTATTGTGCCTCTAGAGAGTTTCGTTTTGTGGGTTTAGTTTCTACCCACAAATAGCAAAGGAAGTATCATGATTGTAACACTTGAGGATTTTTCCATTAAATTATATGCTATATAATGTCAAATTCTGCAAACAAATGTTTGCGTGAACAGTTATATTTATTCAGGTTTTGTCATTCAGGCTTAACACCCTGTTGTGTTCCGATTCACTTAATTGTAGCAAGCAAAGAAAATCTGGGTTTGGTTTGCAACACCCCTATGGTATTTCATGGGACTTTCACAGAACTTCTGCATAACTGGAGCACAATTTATATTCTTCTGAAACGATTAGTCTCTGTTCTTTTCTCTGTAGATTAGGGTTCTTGTATCAGAATTTGTAGTAAGGTACTTTAGCTTGTCTGTCCTTAAATTAAAATCCTTTAGTATCAAAGTGTATATGTAAGTGATGCAGCAAGTAATACGAAAGTGCTTAAAAGTAATGCATCACGGGGTCATTCATTCAAAGTTTTTGAATCTTGAAAGATTTGGTAAGTTTGAAAGCTGCAGACAGTTAAAATCTCTTGGCATGAGAAAAGCTCCATTTGAATTCGTGAAGTTGTCATGCATAAGGTAATGGAATTGTAACTAAGATGCTGTGTTTCCATCTGGGTAGTGTCTATAAGAAGCTGTTAGGAGAACAGGGAGGAAAGAAGAGCTGGAGAGCTGATGGCACAACTGGGAAACCAAGCTCTAGATTTCCTTTATGCCATATGTAAACAGTGCTATTTCTCAGCTTTTGCAGTATTGCACTGAAATCAGTTCCTTATGAAGAGAACTTGCCAAAAGCCAAGCCCAGTCAAGACTGAGAAAGAAAGTATTTTGTAGAACTTGCTTCTTCCATTTCTGCCTACTGTGGAAAATGTGGTAACATTCTTTAGTGCTGAGCACTCCAAAACACCCGTGTCAACAAAAACATAGCTTTCTGATTTGCTGCACATGCAAAAGAATGCGATGCATGTGTTGAAGTGATGGCCTTGCAATCTCTGGGTAGCAGTTGCTGCACTTCACTTTACCTGAGAAAGAAACTGAACAGCCTGAAAATGTTCCCATTTCAACACAACATGATGGCATATGCACTTACCATGACGTATACACTAAACACATTCCTCACTTTGTACTGTTTGGATCGGTTCATCTTCCACTGTGGTGTAATTCAGTGCTTCTGTTTTAAATCTTTCATGGGACTTAGAGTAACTTAGCTTAGAGGGCAGGTGCGTAGCTCCTTGAAGGCCTGTGGAACAAAAGCTGTTGAGGAGGTTAATAGGAAACTCGAGACTCTTCCTGAGATATTGGTCCAAACTACAGAATTCATTGCTGCAAAAGGCAAAGAGGATCTTAATGTTGTGGGTGAATCAAAGGCAGAACTCATTGCTTCCAGTGATGGATTTTTCTTTCAGCCAGTTTTGCACACAAAAATAAGTGTAAAATCAGCTGATGTGCTTTGGAAGAAGTTTCTGTTCTGCAAGGGCTTAGGTGGGTAGAGGGTAATAAGTATCAAGAAGAATTTATATCTAAAATTGGTCCCTTTCTTCTGATGCTGCACAGGGGCCTTTATGAAGAGTTACTCAGATCTCATAACTTGAGCTCATAACTTGATCAGCTGACTTTTTAGACTTCTTGCATTATTAAAAGACCAGCTTAGGTTTTGCCAGAATGGAGCATGGAGCTACTTTGCCTATGCAGATTTTAATTCTCCTAAAAACTGATCACACCTGTAGCCATCTACATTTGCTTAGCCTGCCCCCTTTAAGGATCAACTGAGTTAACTCAGTTTCATAATCAGGATTTTTTTAGTTACTCATTTTTTCAGAGATGCCTGTGTGTGTTAATACGTGCATGTCCCAACCTAATTAATTTTCTTTCTGTGCAGACTAGATTCCATTTTCCCTCCTCCCCTCATTTTCCCTTCCGTCTGCTCCACACTGTGGCACAGACTTACCCTTGTTTGCTAATGCATGTGTAGGTGCTGGGACTCATTTCCAATGAGGCTTTTGCCCATGGATGTATTTCAGTATATGAATATCTTAAAATAAAATGAACAGAACATGACTAAATCATTCCCAAACAACTTCTTAGGAAAGATTATTTTATGGACTTGCAATTCTTAATTCTTTGGATGCTTTCTCAAACGAAATGGTTGGTTTGAATCAAGTTCATTGTAAATAGTTTGGGGCATAACCATGTGGATTGTGTCAGATTATGGCATTACTTAAGGCTAGCTGTGTAACCTCTTAATCCATAGCTGTTTCAGTAAATATGATGTAGTAGTTTAAAAATAGACTAATGGAACAAACTAATTCACTTAACATGTGTTGCTTTTCAAGACAAACTTTGTTTACTTGTAGTTAAAGTCGTATGGCAAACATTGGATAGTTTTTCCCAAAAATAAGAAACTGGAGACTGTTTAGTTTGCAAAGTATAGAGAGCTGCGAGTCAACGACCAGTTTTCTCTTTGGTTTTGTTGGGTAATAGTAAGAATTATTGTAAATAATATGTAGATTAACTGTCTAATATGCTTAAGAATATGGATGAATTTACTGGGAGTTTCAGTTAATCTGGAAAGCTAGCAGCCACATTCCTTCTATTACGATTTCCATTAGTAATTTTTAAGAATGAGGTATTTTGAATGGTGACTTTTTAATACTCTAATGCTGCAAGAGCCTGGTTTTGTGGTCTCTGTCTGGTTTTAGAGACTTTTATGGTTAAACCTGCAAATCTTGTTGGTGTAAATAGTCTTTAAAAATTTGTGCCCAGTCTGAACTAGGACAAAACTGCAGCTAAATAAAATACGGAGTGCTGGGCCCTCTATTTTGTGCTTTTAAAAATGCAGTGATTGTCTTTAATCTACTATAAAAAAACCCCATTAAGCTCTTTGTAAGATTTGTATTTAAATACCTTCCTCCATGTATTTAAATACACTTCCTCCATGTTTCGTTTTCCTGGGTTTACAGTAGTTAATCTCCATTTGGTATGTGACACTCCTAGAACTGAGGGACTAAATTTGGCCCTTGGATGCTGATATCTGCCTCCCACTGGATTCGGTAGAGGAGTTTGCCTGTCAGCCTAAGGATGACATTTGGTCACTTAAATGTTCAGCATGAATACGTGGTGCGCCTGTAATGATGGTATTGGTTCATAGTATAAGCAAGGAAACAGATCCCTGTATCTGTGTAGAATATAGCCAACTTTGCACTTTATAGATTTCTGATCTTGCCATTTTGGTACAATACAGTGTAGTTGTAAATACTCCTTCCTGTCATTTTAATTTTGTTGCACTTATTTCAGTACTGTGCTATTGGTAAGACTTTTATGGGAAACATTACTAAAATGTATTTTTAATTGTTTGTGTATAAAATAAACTTATGAAGCATATCTCTACCTTTAGTATTGGGGGAACATGAGAGGAGGCAGTAATTCATTTGCTTTCCATGTCAATTCAGAGAAATGAAAAGTTTCTGTCAATTGGCTGCGGGATGATACGTTTCATCCCATCCCTGTGCCTAGTATCTAAACCGAAGTTTCAGCATTAACATAAATCCTGGTTTGTTTTTTTGTTTCTTTTTTTTTCCCTAACTGGCCCAGTTGAGTGAGGAATAAAGCACAGCGAGTATGACTGGCATGGAAAAGCCCCTGTAGTGGTACCTGTCTCTAGATTTTGAGTGCAGCATAATAGCCTTTCCACAATAACCTTTGGATTCGCTCGGATCTTTCCCCGCTGGTGATGCTCTCAAATTCAACAAATGTCACATGGTAACTGAGAGGGGCCTTGATCAGATTTTTATGTAGGAAGGCCGACCTCCTTTGGTGTTGGTGCCTTCATGGATTACAACCTTCCTGAAGCCATCCTGTACTCTGAATAATCAAACTTCAATGGAATCAGCCCTGATGAGACTGACCGAGCAGCCTTATTTTGTGAAGACAGTCACCATGCCATCTTAAGCTTCATAGTTTGAAAATTGTATATAACCACGAATTTCAGAATATGATTTAAAATAAACAATCTTAATGTATCAGTTTTTGTTTCATCATTTAAAATTTTAAGTATAGGAGCAAGAAAAAGAGTCTATCTTGAATGTTACTTTCTCCAATTTAAAGCAAATGTAATAATTACAGAGAATACTTTATCCTTGCAGTATGCCCAAAGGAGGACTTAAATGAATTGGGTGCATATGGAAGTAATAGCTACAATGAAGCACTTCAAGGCGTGGTGCAGGAAGAGAGGAGGTGGAATTTCCAAACTTATGTTTAAAAAAAAAAGTAATTAGGTATGATTTTGTATGCCATACAAAATCCTAAATATTGCAAAGATATGTGACATTGTAGGGTATTCTATATGTGAAGGGGTTATTTGTGAAGTGCAGGTTGCTGGCCACTTCTCTACGTTGCCAGCAGGTGGCAAGTAGATTTGTAGGAAACGTGGTTTTTCATTTTCAGAGGCATGGTTGGCTCTTTCAATTTTTAGTGTAAATACACACTAATGCCTTTTAGCTCCTCAGGCTTTAACACAGTTTCTAGGAAAAGAAAAACAGCCTCTGTTGGACTCTGATATCTATTTCCTTCTGAAATAAATCTTTTTCCTTCAACAAGGTACTTTGAATAAACCTACATGTTTTCATTCATGCATGTTGTGAATTCAGTAAAAGTATCTGTAACTGATTCTATAATATTTTTCCTCCTTCTTACTGATTTCGATTTCTATGTAGTCCTTAGAGAGTAAGAATTGTTTGGCTGTCTAAAACTATCTTCTACTTAATTTTGATCATATCAAATAATGTTACAGGAATGTGAAGACTGGACTGTTTTGAGCGTAGCGTTGGGAATTTGGCAATGTCCTGGATATCAACTTTAAGACAAACCTTCCTCACCAATTTAGAACCTAAAATTTTTCTACTTTACAGGGGTTTTTTTGTCTGATATCAGCTTCATCCATTCAACCAGGGAGCCAACCAAACAGGTCGTTACATTTGGAGAGTGCTCATAATTTTAGCATGTAGCTGCTGGACGGGGTTTTTGTTTTCCTTTCCTCCATAAAGAAAGTAATCTTTTCAGCAGCAGTCTCTGCTGAAACGGATTAACTCTGAAACGGATTTCCAAGTCACAGAAAGTTGCTGGGTTTTGTTGGGAACTCCTGAAGACCCACAATTTCCTTCATGTTGGCTTGAAAACAGCTGATGAGTTCTTCAGACTTCAGAAAGCTGAGCAGCTCCTTGCATGTGAAAGACCTATCTTACTGTGTGCTTTTCCTAGTGCCTTGCAGGCTGCTTTTCATGCCTACTTCTAAG